GGCTTCCCATTCCCACTGTTTAGAGTGGAGCACAGAAAGCGGACCTGAGTACATGTGGGAAGGTTTTCTATTTTCAGGGGAAAGCTCAAAGCTATGGCAGAATGTTTAGGCTCTGATCCAATTATTACTGTCTCATTCTGTGAGGCAAATAACTACCTTTCTAGATCTTGCTTTCTTCACCCATAAATACAGGTAATAATGACTCTCTCATTTTCCCTTTCTGGAAATTGGGAATATAATAGTCGCCTTGCTTTCTTCCCCCACAAATTGGAGATGGTAATAATGACAGGTCTACTTTCCTCAGCAGCAAAGTAAGTGGGTTGCTCTGTTCAGTCGCCTATAATACATGCTCAACAGTATCACAGTATCTGTGCGGCCAAGTGAACACTCAGCAGGGACACAGGAGCTGGAAGTTCTAAAGAAAAATGCAAGAAATGATGTCTGCCATTATGTGTTCGGTAAACCTTTTTGGAGCGTCTTCCACAGGGGAACCCCTCACAGAGGAGGAAAGCAACACAGTTCCTGCTCTTGGAGTTTACAGTCTACTGGGGAGATAAATACTAATCAAACAGTCACACCGAAGATTGTGACTGTAAATGCCATGTAAATTTCCTTCCAGCCCCAGAGCATACATCCGCTGTAACACTCTCCCCTCTGCACAAGTTCCAGAGGCTGCTAAGGTAGAGGAAACGTTCTGAATCTGGTTTTCTAGGTAGTGGCTTTTTAGAATCAGGGAGAGGCAGCTGAGTGCGATGGTGCATGCCTATAATCCCAGCACTCTGGGAAGCTGAGGCAGGAGGATCATAAGTTTAAACCCAGCCTGGGAAACTGAGCAACTTAGTGAGACTCTCATCTCAACATAAAACATAAAAAAGGGCTGGGGGTAAAGTTCAGTGCAAAGGCCATAGGTTCAATCCTCATTACCTAGAGAGAGAGGGAAACGGAGAGAGGGAGAGAGACAGGGTTTGTTTAGCCTTTCTCTTTTTTTTTTTTTTGTGGTAGCGGGAATTGAACTCAGGACCTTGCACTTGCCAGGCAGGCATTTATACCACTGAGCTATATTCCCGGCCCTAGCCTTTCTCTTTGAGATTTTATTTTATTTTATTTTTGGGGGGTCTTTTTTTTTTTTTTTGAGACAGGGTCTCACTATGGCTGGCCTTGAGCTCACTTTGTAGCCCAGGCTGGTCTTGAACTCACAACGATCCTCCTGCCTCAGCCTCCTGAGTGCTGGGATTACAGGTGTGCACCACCACACCCAGCTTCTCTTTGTGATTTTAATTTAGCTAAAATTAAGCGGTGGTTTTTTGAAGGAAGGAGAACCAAATGTCTATAAAATGAGGGCTCCTATCCCAAAGCTCACCCACTGTGACCCTCCCAATCACTCTGCCAGCTCCCTGCAGAGTTGTGGAGCCTCCAAGAGTAAGAGGAGGCAGGAAATGGGTCAGACCCCTCAAAGGGCACCTGGTATTGCTCATCCCATCTTCCAGTGGCTCCTGCAGGCTACAAGGGCGTAAGCACACATGCTCGGGAAATGTCCTACGGCAGAAGCAACTGCTCAGTGACTGATTTGCTGATCACTATGGCCGTGTTTGTTTGCCAGGAACCTGTAGTGGAACATTGACTCCTCAGTCCTGAGGTCAGAGATCTTTTAAGTAGCACATCCCTATTTTGTTCCTTGAGACAATCATTCTTAACTCTAAGAAATCCCTAGCTGCTCCCTGCCCCATCCCCTTTTCAGTACCGCAGAGACCAAAGTTAAATCTTGTTTTCTTCTGAGTATTGACTTTTTTTAACCACCGAGCTAGTTTTACAACCCTCTTCTGGGCTGGCTTTGAAACGACCTATGGATGATTCTTTTGATAACTTCCTGCTAGGCAAGGAACTTACTATCTTCTTCCAGCAACATTTGCAACCCTGTCCCTAGTTCTCTGATTTCTCAGTGCATGGTGTCTTCAGGGAATAGCGACACACTTAATTTTGGCAGGTGAAGTGTCACTGGACTGGCTGAACATGTCCTGTGTCTGGGGCTACTGTGAGCAAGTCTTTTAGTCTTGGCTAAGTCAACGCTTCGTGCAGACCACAGATGGAGACTGGTGGAGGAGAGAGGCTGAAAGGCATCTCGTTCCTATTTTAGGACTGTGCATAAATACACGGGGAAAGGAGAGGCCTTCAAAGAACTTGTGCCACTAAGGATCTCCTTTGTGTCTACTCTGTATGTGACATTTCTATCACAATTATGATGACTGTTTCTTCGTTTTGTCTTCCTTTCTATAAGTGGCTCTGCTCCACTGGGACAGACTGCTTACACCCACAGAAGAGAGACGTGTTCAAAACAGGCACGTGCTCTCCGCCTGTTTCTAGCTTTGGCCACGTGCTTTCGGCCTCACTGGTTGTTGATGCTTTTATGTCCTCTGGACTTGTTCCCGGCACTCACTACTCATCTCATGCTACAGCTTGGTAGTTTGGAGAGGGGCAGCACAGCCTGTGTTCCTTTTAGAATGTGAACCGTCTCTTCTCTTTCCCTTTAACTCCAGTCGCTGGGTGCCTGACCTCCATCGAATTTTGGTTTCAGTGTGAAAGTTTCAGGATTGAATTGACACTGAGTTAAGGTTGAGATCTGAAAGTCAGTGTTTGACAGTTGACTACACCCTCATATCATTGGTTCCAAACCACGGAAGAGAGCCGCTGGGATTTTAAGATGTTCCCAGAACACTTCACATCCAGCTGGCCTCAGAGTACTCCGGCTCTGCATCTCCACTTGGACCCATTCAACCTCTGCTTTTGCCCTCAGACATTCAGGGGTACAGCTGGGCAGGGTACCTGTCCAGGGAATCCTGTTACCCTCGTTATTGTCAGGATCTAGAATGTCCCCCCAAAAGGCTCACTGTGTTCAAAGTTTGGTTGCTGATGGGCTTTGGGGGAAGCTGTTGGATAATGAGGGCTCCAGCTATGTAAGTGGATCCATCCATTCATGAAATCATAGTTCATGGCAATATAGGAAGGTGACAGAGATAAGAAGTAAGCCCTGGTTGAGGGAAGTGGATCATGGGGCAGAACCCCAGGGATTTTGTCTGGTTCCCAGCCCCTCCTCAGCTTTACCCCCTCTCTGCTCCATGGCTGCTATGCGGTGAGAACTTTCCTCTGCCCTGCCCTCCTTCTACCATGACATCTCTGCCTTGCCACAGACCTAAAAGAAATGGACCCCACTGACTATGGACTGAAACTTTTGAAACCATAAGCCAAAATAAATCTAGCCTCCCCTAAGTTGGTTCTTCTCAAGTAGTTGGTCATACAGGCAAAAAGCCAAAACACCACCTTTAACCATAAGAAGGAAACAAAGTGAGATAGGAGGGCTGCAAGTTCAAGGCCATCTTAGACAGCAAGACCCTGTCCAAAGCAGAAAATAAAAAGGTCTGAGGATGGAGCTCAGCAGTAGAGTGCCCCTGGGTTCAATCTCTAGTACCAGGGGAAAAAAATCAAGAAAGATACAAAGGAAAACTTGGGAAGACCCACGCTGGGAAGTGCTCCCAACCCCTACGCTCCCCTGCCCGCAGCACACAGCCCAGGAGCCATCCATTCAGTCCTTGCCACAGACATCACCTCCAAGAGAAAACTAGCCCCGCGCACACAACTGCAGAGTGGATTAGTGAAAAGAACACTGGATTAAGCATCAGGAGACTCCGGGATCCAATTTTACCCATGAGTAGCTATGGAATTTGGAGAAAGCCATTTAACCCTCTGTGTTTTAGTCTCTTGGTTTGTAAATTGAGAAATACTTGCCCTTCCTCTTCTCCCTGAATTGTGAAAGGTTGTTGTGAGGGTCACATGAGACACTGGAGGGGAATGACCTTTGGAGGAATATAGTGCTGTGGCTTTGCACGTATTATATTTCTGTAAACCACTTCCAGACTACTGGGAGTATTTTTATAGGATTATTTCACGTACTTCATTTAGGGTGGGGCTGTTGTGTCTGGAGTGGAAGCCAGTCTGCAGGAGTGCTATCTATACTCATAGGTTTTGAAAACCCTCAATAGTAGGGTGTGGCCACAGTTGCAAAGATTTTGCTGTTTGACTTTTTAAAATCTTTTTAAGACAGGGTCTCACTATGAGCTCAGGCTGGCCTTGAGCTCACATTGTAGCCCAGGCTGGTCTCGAACTCTCAACAATCCTCCTGCCTCAGCCTCCCTAGTGCTGGGATTACAGGTGTGCGCCACCACACCTGGGTCATTTTTGAAGCTGTCCACCTGGCTCAGGGTATCTGAGATCAGCCCACTCCTGTTATTTTCAGTCAGTCTGGAGATCCTTATCACTTTGGGCGGACCATTGTGTAGCCCCTGAGAGTGTCCTCAGAGTCAGTATTGGCTCCATCACTTTCTACTACACAGACTTCGGCAACTTGGTATCTCTGAAACTGTTTTCTCCTTCATAAAATGTGAGAAATGTTATCTTTTTTTGTCTTTTTTTTCTTTTTTTATCTTGCCGTATAGTCCAGGCTGGCCTCAAACTCACTTCTGCCTCAGCCTCCCAAGTGCTGGAATTACAGGTGTGCACCACCATGCTGGGCTCAGACAACTCTGGAGTTATTCTGACTCCATAAAATCAAAAATGACATGTAGAAAGAACCTGACCAAATTCCTGATCAATACAAGTTGTTGTCAGCTTATCTGTACCTACTTTAGGGAGGATTTTTACTAGACACAACTGCCTAAAGGTCATTTACACATCTCAGAGGCATTTTAGAATCAGATCAGAGATGTGGCCATCCTAAAAATACCAGTCCTATCCCAGCACTTGGGAGGCTGAGGCAGGAGGATCGTTGTGAGTTCGAGACCAGGCTGGGTTACAAAGTGAGCTCAAGGCCAGCCTGAACTGCAAAGCGAGACCCTGTCTCAAAAAGACTAAAAATAGAAATAAAAATAAGGAATAAAAATTAAAATGTCAGTCCTGCCAACTTTCCTGATCTCACTGACTTCCCTTCTCATTCTTGGTGCCTTGTGCAGGGAACATCATTGGCTCCGGAATCTTTGTCTCACCAAAGGGTGTGCTGGAGAACGCTGGCTCTGTGGGCCTTGCTCTCATCGTGTGGATTGTGACCGGTGTCATCACAGCTGTGGGAGCCCTCTGCTATGCTGAGCTGGGGGTCACCATCCCCAAATCCGGAGGCGATTACTCCTATGTCAAGGACATCTTTGGAGGACTAGCTGGGTAAGCAGACCTGTGCAGGCCTGAGTGGCTGAAGGGAAAGGAGAGGGTGGGGCAGAAAGAGGTCGGATTGCTCTTTTGCTTTCATATTAACCTTGTGTCCGCTTGACGCTCCTGAGATTGACAGAGGAACCAAGCTGAACTTTTAATCTCTGTGTTGGCCTTGGTGGGCAAGAGTCTTTTAGCAAGAACAAACAAAACTGCAACAGCACTGACCGCAGACTACCGGGGAGAGCAATCACAAGGTCCTTGTATCTTAACAAGTGAGCGTGACCACCTCAGATACAGTGTGCGGTCTTCTCGGTCTTCTCGTAGTGCAGAGATAACAGCCTCCCTCCAGAGTTCAGCCCTGGTCTTCTGCAGCCCTGCTAAAAAGAACTAAACCTTCACCCGGGGGCAAAGGGTGTGGAAGGTGCTTCTCCCCCGTCCCTGAGCAGTGGGATTAAATAGCCACGCCCTTAACATGTCCTGGCTGTCAGAAATCTGAGGTTGCAAATTTATTCTTTCCAAATTTATTGGATGTTGGGGCCAGAGTGGAAGAGAAGCGATGATGAAAAGAAAGGGGAGAGAAAGGCGCCAAGGCTCGTGTCAGCGCCAGTTGAAACCCAGCTCTTCCGCCATGAAACCGTTTTATTGCCGTTTCGGAGAGCTGCGTGTCTTGTTTGGGGCGGGAGCGGGGCTTGGGAAAGTGAGGCTTCAGCATCCCTGAAAACAATAAAGGAAACATAACCCGTCAGTGCTCTGCTTCTGCTCATGCCTGCCCGCAAGCTCCGCCAAGCTGCCCTCTGATGATTTCTGAATCTCTGCCGTGCCTCGGGCGGGGCCCGCTGGCACGGCGCCTGTTCCTCCCTCAGGTTCCTGAGGTTGTGGATCGCTGTGCTGGTGATCTACCCCACCAACCAGGCCGTCATCGCCCTCACCTTCTCCAACTACGTGTTGCAGCCGCTGTTCCCCACCTGCTTCCCTCCGGAGTCTGGACTTCGGCTCCTGGCCGCCATCTGCTTATGTAAGTGTCCTCTGCACCTTGCTTTCAAGACAGCCTCCTGCTGGGCGTGGCGGCACATGCCTGTCAGCCCAGCACTCAGAAGGCTGAGGCAGGAGGATCACTGTGAGTCTGAGGCCAACCTGGGCCCTATAGTGAGTTTAAGGCCAGCCTGAACTGCATCAGGAGATCCTGTCTCAAAAAACACAAACAAAGGGGCTGGGGATTTAGCTCAGCGGCACAGCGCCTGCCTGACAAGCACGAGGTCATGAGTTCAATTCCCGGTACCAGGGGAAAAAAAACAAAACAAAAACAAACAAGACACCCTTTTTCACCCTCTGATCACCTATGTGTCTCCAGTGCTCCTTTCTTTCTTTCTTTTATTTTTGGAGTTGTTTCCATTCCTTTCTTTATATTTCTTACAAATGTGTTTTCGGGGGCTGGGGATTTAGCTCACGGCACAACGCCTGCCTGGCAAGCACAGGTCGTGAGTTCAGTTCCTGGTACCGGAAAAGAAACAAAAAACAACAACAAAAAAATGTGTTTTGGATGAGTGAACTTTGCATACAATTATCTGGTGTTACAAAGAAGAAACTTAAATAGCTTCTTGGAAGCATGGAAATACTATTCTTTATAGGAACAAAGCATTTTCCCCTACATTAATCTGATTTGAGTCTCATGACAAATCTATGAAGTGATCCTGGCCAATATTATCATCTCTCTAGAACAGATAAGGAAGCTACCCAGCAGGCCCTGAGTGGGGTCCAGGGTTCCTGACTGCCCCTTTCCTGCACTCTGCATCCTGCCAGCCTTCCCTGCAGCTCACAGCGGGACTATCCTGGCCTCTGGCAGAAGTCTGGTCTACTTCCCTGTCACCTTGCCAACTCATACTTTTTAAACTCCCTTGGGAGAGAGCTTATCTCTGGGCCCTGTCCTGGATGAGGGCATCTACCCTCAGCGTCTAATCAAATGCTGGCTTCTCAAGCATTCACTTAGAGACTTCACTCTCCAGTGGGCTTGGTCCCTGCCATACCACACCTAATACATACCGCCCCCCTGCCCAGCTAAGCACGGGGCCTGCGCTGGCTGTGCCCTTCACGTGTGGGCATCTTCCTTTCATCCTGCCTCTCGCAGAACAGGCAGCTGTGGGTTCTCTTGGCAACTGTGCCCTCTTTGGAGGTGGAGGTCAGTCCTGGGATAGACCACCCCCCATACCAAGGCAAGTTGTGATGTGGGGCTGAGACCCTTGTTTGGGGACTTTACTCCTTGTGCTGGGTCAGGTCTTCCCACAGACTTGGAGGCAGGCCCCAGAACCAGGCAGCCAGGCCTGCGTTTCCACTCCACCTGTTCTAACTGCAGTGTCTTGAGTGCTTGCAGAGTTACCCACCCTGCCCCACTGTGAGAGGAGACTGTGTGAGAGAAGGGATGGGTATCTCCACACAGCACCGGTCCCCAGGGCCCCAGTCACGCCAGTCACTGAGGGTGAGCTGGGGTGTCTGGCAGATGGGAGTACTTTATCTTTGCTCTTAGCTGGATCCAGAGCTGCCAAGTGTGGTGGCACACGCCTGTCATCCCAGCATTTGGGTGGCTGAGGCAGGAGGATCACAAATTTGAGGACAGCCTGGGCCACTTACTGAGTTCAAGACCAGCCTGAACTACATAGCGAGACCCTGTCTCAGAAAAAAATAAGAGACCAGCGCTGTGGGCAGGGAAGAAAGGAGGGCGTGGGAACGCAGGAAAAGTTGCTGTTTCTACCACAGACAGGCTAATGCAGGAGGAAGGGGAACCGCATGAGTGCTGGCCACTGCTGTTTCTGTGTCTTGTGCACAGTTTCCTTTTTCCTGCTGATGCTGCTGAAGTGTCTCAGACAAGAGGCCACCCTTACCCTCCTACTGGGAATCAACAGCTCTGAGCATGTTCAGAGCCTCCCGGGCTGGTGTGGAGCCTTTGTAGTCCCCAGGCCTGGCCTGGGCTTGACCCCTTGCACCGAGACCCTCTGGAGGAGTGGAGGCCCTGTGGCCCCCTCACACTGGACTTGGCTGACCCTCTCAGACAAGAGTGGCTCCTGCCTGTAGCCAGCTCCAGAAAAGGGCTTGCTCACAGTCCCACACAGCCTACCTCTCCCACGTGGCCAGCCCGAGCCGACCGGAAACTCAGAATCTGTGCACAGACAAAATGGCGCGCTCTCCCCTCTGCCCTCGCTGTGGCGGAGCCCGTAGCGCACCCCTGGCCTCCGCTTCGCCTCCTCCGAACTGCACGGCAATGGCCTCCAACTCAACAGTACCCGGCGTTGCCCTCCCAAGACATGTATTTTTCAGTGTCCTTGAGACAGGCGTTTCATAAGCAAAAGAATCCTGCACTCACCCTTTTCCCTCCTACTTCCTTTTTTTTTTGGAATGGGGAATCGAACTCAGGACCTTGCCAGGCTTGCGCTTATGCCCTTGAGCTAGATCCCCAGCCCACCCTCCTGCTTCCTTAGAGAACATGGAGAACAGCTCCACGTTCAGTGCTCTTCAGTGTCCTTCTCCTCCAACTGCAAAGGCTACTTGGAGCTGCAGCAGAGCAAGGTGCACATGTCCACATTGCCCCCTGCACACTCGCGTGCACACGCAACTCACACGCAGCGAGGAACTGAGGTGTGGCACAAGTGTGCTTACATGGGAAGTCTTTTCTTCTGCTGTCTCATTTTGGCTTATTGATGATGATGCTGGGTTTCATCCCCTAGGCAGTGAAAGGCGCTGGGGAAAGGCCACCCACCCTCTGGAGGTGCCACCGGTGTGTTCCACAGAGCCCCCCAGGAGAGCGGGTGTGGCCCAGCCCCGTGCTTCGGCCTGCGTGGAAGAGCCTGGGTGAGAAAGGAAGTTGGGATGAGCCAGATGGCGGGAGTGGAAAGGCGGAAAGAACCTGCTGTAACTGGCTTGCCTGGCGGGAGCCTGGAGCGAGTGAGGGGCGGAGTGAGGGAGAGGGAAAGAACTGCAGGTATGGATCACGCTTAGGCAAACGCAGTCGCCGCTCTGAGTTACTCTATTCTTTAGGTCAAAGCTGATTATTCAGTGCTGAGTCAGCAGAATGTACCTGGCCACTAGGCAGTAAAAAAAATCTTTTTTTACATTTTAATTAAATGAAAAGCCTTTCTCTCTTCTCCACAGCAAGCATATCCGTGGGAGGAAGGACTTAGGAAAGGGAACTGGAAGATGTTAGAATTTGGCTTTGGTGCTTTCTCTTGGGACTTGCTTAGTCTTTCTTCTTCTTTTTTTTTTTTTTTTTTTTGTCTTTTTGAAACAGGGTCTCACTATGCAGTTCAGTCTGGCCTTGAGCTTACTTTGTAGCCCAGGCTGGCCTCAAACTCAGAACAATCCTCCTGCCTCAGCCTCCTGAGTGCTGGATTACAGACGGGCGCCACCACGCCCGGCCCTCTTCCATTCTTTCTTCCTATTGTCTTTTAAGAAAATGGCTGTACAGGCATTGTCTATATGAAAGAGTCAAGTAAGATATGAAAAGTCAGCAAAGAAAGCCCCCCACATCTTGCCTCTCACCCCTCCCCTGGCCAGTGACCTTGGTAATAGTGAATGAATATCTTTACAGTTCTAAGTACAATGTATCCGTTTATGTACATGTTTGAGTATGGAGACATTCACATCAACAGGTAATTTCCGCAGCTTGTCCTTTTATCATTTTGGTTATTAGCTAAGTTTCTAGCATCAAAGGACAAGACTGCAACAATTTAGTTTAAAGATATTAATTGGCCTTTTCTTTTTTTGGTGCTAGCACCTCACACACGCTAGACAAGCACTCTACCACAGGACCCCCAGCCGTTGGCTTCGTCATTCATTGTAGAATTGGGCTCACTTCATTCTGGAAAATAGAATAAGTGCTCCAATTGTCCAAGCAAAGGAGGTTGGCTTCAGAGACAGAGAAGGGCTTAAAGAAAGTGAACACAAGCAAATAAGAAGCTGGTGGAGTGGTGGGCTGGTCATTTTGGAGTCACTCTCTTTGTGAGGTGTGGGGCAGGGAGACAGAATAACAAGAAAATAACTGATCGGTGAATGTCAGATTATTTCTGGTTACTCCTTTGTGTAAAGATTAAAGCCCCGGGAATTTCATTATCATACCATTAAATTCAGCAGGTTGGGAAGATGTGGCTGTTATCTGTCTAATTGTGATTCTTCTTGGGTCAGATAACATCCTTTTGATTTTTATCGTGATCTGTCAGAGACAGCGCAGGAGCTTAGTTCAAAACCATGGCCTCTGACACTTTTTGCTCTTTTGCGTGTGCCTGTGTGGGTACTGCGTGGGTTTGTGAGTGTGTGTGTGTTGCTACAGATCAAACCCAGGGCCTGGCAGATGCTAGGCAAAAGCTTTACCACAAAGCTACACCCTCAGTCCTCACTGTGCAGGGCTCCCTAACTGCATGTGGGTTTCCCGATTTAGGATCTGCTCCCTTGCCCCAGTTCTGGGGACCAGGCCACCTTCCATGTGAGCAGCTCCCGGCCCCCAGCCTCTCTTTTGGGCCTAAGATTACCTCCTGTATCTGAAGTAGAATCTTTTCATTCAAATTCCCTCCTGTTCCCTGGATGTCTTGCCTTTTAAAGAAATTTCTTCTACTTCTTCACCCTGAGAAAAAAAAGGAGTACCCTACATGGATTTCACCAGGAAAAAATTCTTCTTATCTTGTTTTCTATCTTTCTGCTGAGATTCCTAAGACACTACTATTCCAGGACTGCAGATTTCTCCCACTTCTTCCTTGAGCTATTTGGAAAGAGAAGAACTTCATGAATTTCTTCTAACCCTGAGTCACCCTGCAATTCCTCTACAGAAGGCTTCAGCTGCCCAAAGCAGGATGTTGTCCGTTGTTTTGCAAGCACACTGCAGATTAATCCCTTGACATGGGAGGGCTCAGAGTCTTCCCTCGGATCCAAATCCCTTCATCTCTGTTCGTCTTCCCCTGAGCCTTTACATTCTCTAGCCTCAAAATTCTCCCCAAACATGAAACCTATCACCTCAGACACCTGGCGGCACTGCTT